GACACATTTTCAGCAATAATCTAATTTTATACTTGAGATGATGTTTTTCTTGGTGGTTTCTCACATCCAACATCCCTCTCTTTTTTTCACTGTGAGAATGGTTTTGTCCTGGCATTAAGGGAACAATAGACTACACAACAACCTGTAAACCATGGCATGTTTTGAAAAGCTTGCCACTTCCTACTGTAAACCGCAGACTGAAGGTGAGTTTCACTTGTACACACAATGTACTTAACATGAAACCAGTTAGATTCATACTTAAGCTTTAGCATATGTGCTGCTATCACTCACCACCTTTTATTTTTGTGAATCTCTTAGAATGAAATGTGTGGTGGACATTATAAACTAAGCTTATTGAAATGAGACTTGGGTATACTATGGTATGCATTGTGGGTCTCTCTCTTCCGGTGGGCCTGTTGTGTGTCTGATGTATGTTGCATGTTAGCTGCTATGATTGGCTGCATGGTAGCCTTTGAGGATATAAAGCAGGCTGCCACCAGTGTCTCCTTTTTCAAGTTTACATCCTTTTCTTGATACAGAAGTTTGGTTCAAAGTAAATAACCTGATGCCAAGACCTTTGCAGAGAAATGGTGGGGCTGAGTAACCTGTTTTCCCCCCTTAAGGAATGTGTTACAAGCTTGTGTTGGCTTCATGGTGGCACTATTACCCACAAAAAGTGAGCTAAATCAATCCAACCTATGCTTACCTAACCAAACAAACATAAACCCAAACAGAAATCATGTACCTAAGCTCATAACTACTAAAAACAGGAGAAAAACAGTACACACAACCCCAGACCCCTCCCAAATGAAGCTGCACATTCTGAAATAATGTCGGTAAGCAGCTGTTGGAAACGGCTTCAGTTTATGGAATATTTTGACCCAAACATCCGTTTCACAACAGGGAAATAAAGGCTCAGACATGGTGGTGATTAATAGAAGCTGGGTACTGAACACAGCTAATTTTCCCAGACTGTAATTTCCCCTCAGTAGCTGCAGTTACATGAGCCTTTTTTTTCCCAAATCGAATCAGAGAGTGTTACACAAAATACTCATTTAAAAAGTCTTGTTTATGCCTCAAAGTAAGTAATCAGTAAAGACAGAAAGCTCTTTCAGGCACAGTACAAATCCTGTCACGAGTCTTTGTTCCTTATTTTGACTTGATTTATAATTTTGCCCAGAAAAAGGTAGTACACAAATACCACCACGATTATTATGATTATTGCTCCCAAAAACCCCTCCGTTCAGCAGGAACACAGAGGATGTTGGTGCACGACTGGAACCTGCTGTTAATAATATGAATGTTAATTTTGCTGTTGGGCTGCCGCCGCAGTCCGAGCTTTAAATAACTGGCACTCCAGAGAAAGAAACACAACGCTGACATTTCCATTCTCTGGCCGCCAGCTCCCAGAATAGACTTCGCTGCTGAGAATTTCTTTTTCCATTTCATCTTCATGACAGTTTTTTGGCCTTCACACAGAACAAAAAGCAAAAACAAATCTGCACGTTTTTATGATTAGCGTTTCTTGGTACTTTCGCCTTTTGTTCTGAAGTCGAAAATAGAAACAGGAAATGGAAGGGCAAAGCAGTTTAGGGATGATGTGAAAATAAAATGTGACTGGTTTTGATCTCAGGATCTTGTGGAGTTCTTGGTACAGGCCATAGGGACATCATATATGCACTTTTTCCATTTGTTTTTGCAGATTCCCCTGTTTTCTCCCATTTGGCACTTCCTTCACACTATCCCACTACTAACTACTGTTTTCCTGTGGAAGATACAGATACAGACATGCGCCAACTTTTTATTTTATTTGCTGCTGTGAGCCTCACCTGGGCATAATGCATGGGAGTATTGCACTTACTAATTTACTAATGCAATTATTAAATTAATTATTAATGGTAATGTTGAAGTCCGCATTACATTAGCTGAACTGCTTTCTAAAGTTTTAAAAGCCCAGCAGACCACTAGCTACAAGAGAAGTTAATGTCATTATTATAACATTAAAGATTAAATTTACACATGAAAAAATAACATAGTTAACATTGGCTAGCTCACTATATTTTCACATTTACACAGTTTGTGCAACTTACTTCAGTGTGTATGCGGAGGTTAGAAGAGGAGATTTTAAAAGCAGAGTTGTGTTGAGTTCGATTTTGGTATAAAAAGTAGCTACATTTGGCTAGGGATTGTCAGGTATACATGGTGCACCATTAGTAGCATCATTAGTGATTATTGGGAGGCAGGTTTTTGTCCACCTGATAAATGACCAATATTCACACTGGCTCCTTAGTTGCTGAATGCCCCACTGTGTTCACCAACTAGTTGATAAATGCATCTGTCTGCCCTTTGGTTGGGGGGGGGGGGCAGCACTAAAAGTGACCTCTTTCACATTGTCACATTAACATTTAAAGTGAATCAAAGCAGACAAAAAAAGATAAAAGTGTGGAACTAATGATAACCTCAGTTGTATAGGTGACCTGGGTTAGGGATAGGGTTTAACCATCTATCCTGAGGAGAAAACTAACTATTCGTTTAGCAAAACAATGTAAGTGTAACATGCAAATTCTTGCGTAAAGTAACAGTACGTCAGTTGATCTCAGTACAGTAGTTGAGTAAATGTAGTCTCATATACTGGTACAGCAGATTCTGAATATGATTTGGGAGTCGTGACTTATCTGATCTCTTTTTCTATCAACTTCTTTGATGAATGTCTGGTTGATTTCTGTTTGGGTACCGAAATACACAATAACTTGTGTTGGGCTGTTGCCTAGTGACACGACTCTCATCAAACTTGCTGCCCAGTGTGTTGTCTCTAAATTTACTCAGTCATTTAGTATATGTCCTCCTTTCTGGCAGCCAAGACTAAGAAAAAAGGAATCTGCGTGTGATAGTGGAAGGCAATTGTTAGGTCTGGTATGTGCACTCTTTCTACAGGGTTTCTGCAGGTTCCAACAAGTTAAATTTAAGGCTTTTAAAGGACATTATGAATGCAATTTAAATCCCATTTCACATCCATACTGGCAAAAAAAGGATATGAAGGAAAATCTGAATTGGTTTCATGTCAGTGTTGTTTTTAGGACCCTGTGGTCACCCTGTTAGTAGGTTTCAGCTTGTTTCCATGTCTGTCCCCAGCTAAAGTTACTTCCTGTGATACAGTCCAGAGCAGCTCCTTCTCATTCCCAGGTTGTCAAATACCAACCGAATACTCTCACATCCCTACAGCTGCACTGTATGAGATGCACCAAGCTTCAATGTAAACCATCCTCCTAGAGGAGAGGGGCTGGATGGAAGGCTTAAGCAAACACAGGACTTTCACCCAGAAGATTCGGGGTTCATGTCCCACATGAAACTGAAAATACACATTTAGTTATTTTAAGTTTAAGTCATACAAGTTACCATCTTGCCAGGGTCCAAGCTACTGCATGCACTTGTGTCCGAACGACAGTGGCTCCAAGTAGCCTTGACAAAAAATTGTGAGATTGTACTGTAAGTGAGCACCACGTGTCCCATAATTGTGACCTCATGGCTGGCTACGCCTTTTCCTCAAACCTTAAAAGTGCTGCCTAGCTGGACTACCTATGGATTCCAAGTTCCAACTTTATAGTGCATGGACAGATTTATTTGCTTTCACCACCAAAGTTGCTGGCTTACCGGTATAATAATAATAATAATAATAATAATAATAATAATAATAATGATGTGATGTTTTGCCCAGAATGGCTCTTTTTATGGTAACAGTTGCTGACCCTTGCTTTAAACCAATCAGCGTCTTTTGAGGAACTAACTTTTGAGGATTTAATGCTGTGTGTGACAACTGTGTGTGAGACAAGGCTCAAAAACGACAATGGACGAGAGAGAGGTTACCGTAGATGCTGCTAGCATCAGTTAAATCAGAACTGGAGTGTCTCTTCATTAAAAGAAAAGCAGAAAACGGCACTGAAGGCTTTTCTCAACGGAAATAAAAATGCTTTTGCACTTGTCCCGACTGGCTTCGGTGAGAGTTTGGCTATACGTTTATAGGGTTTGTTGAACTGATTGGTAGAAGTTTGCCTGTGATAGACCAGTCATAAACAGATGGTTCATCCAATCACCTGCCAAGTATAATTTTGAAATTGACTGCCCTTTTCCAAAACAGTTTCCAACGATTACTTTCCAGATGGCTGTCGGTACATTCAGGGTAGAGAACGGGTTGTTTACAGAATTTCTTGTTTCAAGTGTTTCAAGTTTGGCCTGTTTGCGTTCACATTAGAACTGTTGGGATGGTGCATGCACCTTAATGTGTGAGTTGTGTCTGTGTGCATAGTGTGCTTTGGGTACTTAACTACTTTTCCATGTGTTACTGCAGCGCTTGTGTGTATGTTTGTGCATGCATTTAATGCGTATTGTGTGTGTGCATGTGTGTGTGTTGGACCTGTTATGTAACACTAGACCCTTGGGGATAATTAAGTGAGCAGAAGCAGAATGTACGGTACAGTATACTCCAACAAAATAAACCATGTTATTTAGCAGAGAGGGAGAACAAAAAATCACGTGTACACATACAGGAAAATACATACAAAGAGGCTCTAATTCAAACACACTCTTTTCCACATAAACAGACACAAGCATACACACTTTGGATAAGATACACAGAGTACATAGCATGCACATGTGGCCAACATTACTGCCAGGTTCCTTTTTAGTTGTTAAATGTTCTTGTACATACAACACTAAATTCTGGATTGGAAACGTGTGCATACAGTGTACATGTAAAATTTAAACAGTCTATCTTGCTGCCACTTTATCAGTCACACACATACGCACACACACACACACACACACACACACACACACACACACATACATGTGCAGTA